TGATCGAACGAATAAATACTAAGTCCAAAAAGACATGCGGCCTCGGGACCTGTCGACGCAGGAAGCCCTCTTCCGAGGGACGAACCCTCGGCATGGGCCATTGTGGAAAACAACACCTCACCCAGGACATACGAGCCAGGACGAAAGGCCTGTTACGCCTCATCACCTCGGAGCGTGGTGACCCCCTCGGCTACCTGCACTTCGCGCAAAGAAAATAGCGAGACAGAGCCCTCGACTTTGCCGGTGGAACGCCTCAGCCTCCCCTGAGAAAACACTTGGTAAGAACTAATCAGGGGAACTGCACCCCGATGGTGCTGCTCCACCTTGGCTCTTCGTCTACCCAAGTACCTCGGCGACATACCTCGGCCCTAGACCTTGACCTTGGTGCTAGGTCCCTTCGGCCTTGCCTAAGTTAACACAAGGGATTTAGGAGCTAGGTGAGCCCCACTTCGAACATATGACTCTGCCTCGACTCCCAATGTCCCAATTATTTTAGGCGAGCATGCAAATAAACGAGTACTATGAATGAATTGTGTGTGCCTTGTGTATCGTGGTCTTGATTGTTCGAAGGGGCAAAGACCTCTCACAAAAAAAAAAAAAGAGAAAGAGGAAGAAGAAGAAGAAGAGAAAGAAAGGGGAAGAGACAACATGCACAAAGCACAATAGATACAAAAAATGGCTTCATTCATTACTCAGTTTTGGTCTTGTATAGCCTTTACAAAAAGTTTTGTATTGCCTTCACAAAAAGAAAAAGAAGAAAAACAAACAGCAAAGTATTACAACAGTTGAGCAAAAAAAAGGGGGGTAAATCTACGCCTGCGCCTCGCCGTTGGCAGGAGGAGGAACGGAGTCTTCAGCCGACTGAGCCTCAGCGGGAGCATCGGGGATCACTTGCATCCCCTCGACGTCAAAATCTGGCAGCACCAATAGGAGTGCCTTCTTGGTATCTTCAATACCGTCGAGGTAGGACGACGAAGCATACTCCGCCAACGCATCCAGGTAGTCGGAGGACTTCTTGTACACCTCCACCACCTCGGCCGCTGCCTTCTTTGACTGTTCTACTGAGGCTAGGGCTAATCCCAACGAAGACTAGGGGGCCTCCTCCTCCACCAACGGCTTCACTGTAATGTCCCCATCACAAGCAGGTGAGCTACAGTTGTAGCCTCTTCATCTCGGAGTGGTGGGGGAAATCTCTCGACGATGACGTAGGCCTCCCCCCTGTCGGACCTGAACCTCCAGCCCTTGGGGTAGGAGACGTAGAAGAACTTATCTTTCCACCCATGGACAGACGAGGGGTTATGCATAGGCCCCCTTCTCGGGTGGAAGTAATATATGTTGGCCTCGGAAGCGTGCTTCTTCGACGTGAACATGGCATGGAACAGCCTCAACGTCAACTCCACGCCCCTAAGCCGAGCCCACACAATCATCATCATGATGGTCCTAAGGGCATTGAGTACAAGTTGACTGATAGTGATGTCATACCACTCTAGCAACTCAGAGATTAAGGAAGGGAGGAGAAACCTAAGGCCAGACTCCAAAAAATGTTGGTAGACACAAATTTCCCCCTCCTCGGGGGTCCACGGCCGATCGCCCACATCACGGACCCTCAGGTCATAAGACCGGGGTATGTGGAACCTCCTCGCTAGGGATTTGACCTAGCACACGTCCAAGGAGTTGTCAAACTCCGAACGCAGGACACTAGCGTCAACCACCCTTCGGGCAACACTCCCTCCCACTGGTCAAGCGATGACTTCCACAACATCATCCTCGGAGAGAGGAGATCCCTCGAGCTCCCTCGGCAATGCCAAGGTAGTGCTTTCATGGGGAGAGTCATTGCCCCGGTGACTGCCCTCGGCACCCCTCATGGTTAACCATTCCCTAAAGACGGACCTCCCGGCAAAGGGGCGCTATGGCTAAGGAACCCAGGGAAGACAGGGGAGAGGGGGCTGCAGGAGAGCTCCCTCCCGAGATGTTCGGGAGTTCATGGCATTCAGGGCCGAAATCTGAAAACAACATATTTGATTACCTAAGAGAGGATGAAATGTCTCAAAGAGAGGAAGAAATAGGAAAGTCCTGGAGAATTGATAGTTAGGGAGATGCGTTCATGCAAGAGCAAAGACGTCTAAGTTCAAATGAAGGAGAAAGTCACCGCCAGGGCCCCTATTTAAAAGAAAATGGATGACCTGGATCTCTCCAAATCCGATGGCTGGGAGAAATACGCTCCCACTGTCCAACTGTGATGTGCCACCTGGCACTCAGCCTCAAAAGACGAAACAACGCCCAAAGCAACAGTTCAGATCAACACGAATCCAACGGATGCAGGAGCCCTCCATTTCTACGAACTAGTTCCACCGCACCTCCTAGCGCGTGCTCTCGGAAGGCGAAACGATGTTGGGTGGACCGCGAAGATCGCCCGCGACAACCCGCTGAGCGAACCACAGGGCCCGCCCATCGCAAACCATTGGGCGGACCGCTCAACCCGACAAACGCACAACTACTAGAATAACCGTCCCCCGCACAATAGCCTCCTAACGTGACCTGCCCGTGCATGATACAGAACACATCCACCAAACCGAGGCATCCACATCACACACGTTTCCGAACCGAAGAGGGACGACGCACACAACGAAAACGATGCCACTGCAGGACACCCCTCGACTGATGAATCCGAAGGCATAACGACCACTACTCCCAACGACCGAAGCCAATACTTTACCTCGACTGCTACCCTCATTGTCAGCCGAAGCCGAGGCCTTGCCTCGGCCTCGGGAGTGGGGGGCAAATGATGGGGGTTAGCTTGGCCCAGCCCACTAACACTTGGCAGCGTCAGCCACAGCAGGAGGGAGCCCTGCTACCTTTGTATGAAGCCAACCGCATGACAGTCAGACATACCCACCAGGGCTTGTCGCCTGACCTCGTACGGCTCCCATCTGGGGCGTTCATCTTCACCTACCTCCAACACGCTCAAGTATAAATAAGAGGTAACTCCCCTTTAAAGGGGATCAGGAACAGAAAATTCTAACACAGCTTACTCATTTACTCCCTGCATCTACCTTGCTTCCTTAGCATTTACTCTGAGATATCTAGTGCATCCGAGGACTATTGCCAAGACCTCACCTGCACCCTCTCCTACTTTACACCTCATACTAACTTGAGTGTCAGAGCCTCTACCTCGGGTACTCGCCCGAGGCCTCTGACATTCCCTGTCTTGTAGTACCTCTGGTCACCAGGGACCTCGCCTCGGCTACCACAGTCCTCGAAAGGAATACCTCGCCTCGGCCTGCGGTCCTCGGCTTCGAGTCACCTCTTCCGAGGCCTCGAAGTCCTTGGCCAACATTTGAAACCTGGAAAGTGAATTTACCTCGTTGCCCCCGGCCAATCCGTGCGGCAACAATATATATCAGGATATATAATTATATTTTGTTTATAATATATATTCCTTTTTGATAAGTTTAATTTTTTATACTAAAAATTAAGATTTGAGGTCAAAAAAGATGCTTTTGGCGAAAATATAGGGTTGCATTTTAATGCATACGTCACGAAAAATTACCCAAAATAAAAATAATTACCTTAATCTGGTTACATTAAGGTATGGTCTCAAAAATAGGTTGGAAATTTAGCCGCCCCTGGCCAACGGTGTTTTTATAAAGTCAAACATGTGTGCACCAATTGACAGTTTTGGGGCAAACTCAAGACCATGGCCAGATGATGGTTCAAGCAGTTCAACCACCTGGGTCAACAGTAGTCTTGGACGAACTGCTGACCCAGTGACTTATTTGAGTCCCGGTTCATTGATGGTTTTTTTTGGATTAAAATGAACTAACCACCTGATTAATTGGGTGATGTTTGGTATTATCGTTGTTATGAAAACGTTATTTCCATTGAAACAAACATCGAAATGATGTTTTTTTTTCAGAAATTATTCTTATGGCTCAGTTTGAAAGGAGTATAATTGTATGAATACAGATGTAGAATGCAAAATCTTGTAATTTATATTATTTTTTATGTATTTGCACTGTACATATTTGTATTTATACTCCTTCCAATCTGAGCTTATGAAATCCAAGTTATTTAATGTTCTTGAAACAACTTAAAAGACACTCAACCAAATAAGAAAAAAAATGAAGGATGCTAACATGACCAAAACACGTTGGAGAAATGATTCCAATACCAATTACCATCTTGATAAAGCTGTAAGCCTATAACCCAGTGACAACCGACAAGGAGGGTGCCAACTGACTATTTATAAACTAATACTATGATTTCGGTTGTTCATAAACACTCACTGTAGACGCATACCGGAGGGTCACCGATCTGATAGATACCGGCCGTTGCAAAATTTTAATCCTTTGGTTAAAACTATGATTTCATAGAGAAGCAAATTGAAAAAAAAAAAAAAACTAACAAAAAAGCCCCACATCAATGTGCTCTGCTTTCTTTTACTTTTTTGGCTCGCTCTTCTTTTTCTTTTAGTTCTTTTCTTTGAAACTTGTTCAGGGGGGTTGATTTAAGGCCCATCACGGGGCGTATCGGAGTCTGCTTACCAGGATTTTTATTCTTTTATTTTTATTTTTTAAGCGAGGTGAACAGCATGAATGAAACCATGAAAAATAAAACAAAAATGTAGCCAATTCTTTTATTCTTTGATTGGAGAAATCTAACGAAATTTCAACTGCCAAAATAATAATAATATCAAGCATGTTGACATTGGGGCGTACAGGGTGGATGGGTGAATGTGTCCTTTTGCCCAACATAAAGCAGAGACACAAGCTATGCTGTCTGAGGTTTTGCAGATGAATAACCAAGGGAAAAATCTACGAGGAATTGAATGGTATTTGCATTGTGACATGGTAGGGTCGGTCATGCAGTCTAATTATATTTCTGGGGTACCACTAACATCAAGCTGGTTTGGTTTCTTATAAGTAATGTATATGGTCTAGTCTGTAGTATCATTATTCATATAATCTCTAGGTGCCGAATGGTTTGATAGAGGTTCATCCTGATCATTATAATATGTAAGGATTCTTTTCTCTCTTTTTCTTTTCAAAGGCAATGAGATTTACATGAAAGCATAAAACAAAACAAAATATAACGAAATTTCAACTGTCAAAAACACACATGTATGGGTGCATCATGCTCCACTCCAATCGTTTCACAGAAGAGCGACGGAGATTCCGCAGCTTGAGTATGAACATTCTATTTATGCATCAAAGGCATGTACTGTGTCTCCAGTCTCCCAATGAATACTTCCCTCGTATTCACATTTCCTTCTACACCTCTCGCAGAAATTGCTCTGGGAAAACAATTCACAGAGAAAAAAAAATGAAGACATCCCACTCGCGTATGTATATTAACTTTCTTTGTTCCCCAAAATTTTTGAAAGAAAACAGAGAGCCTCTACCCTTCATAAACTAATGATCCTTGCTGGGCGAAAAACTGATATGAGCTGGCTGCTTTTCAAGCATATATCAATCCAAGGCAATGGGAAATGGAAGCAGAATCGCCTCTCAGATTTTTGCTTGCCAGGAAAAGGTTGCATGCTGCACAGCCAGTTGGGGCTAACTGGAAGAACAATTGTTAGAATTTAGAACTAAGATGGACCCGAACTACCACCTGGTTTAGGCTCTGTTCGAACATATGTGAGATTCCGTTTAGTTAGAGATGGTACATTGCTGGAGGGTGTTGCTCCATTCTGAACATTAACAGCACCCTCAGTAGCTGTAGTCATCGGAGCATCTCGCTTCCACTGCAAGCTCCGAGCGCCTGTTTTAAGTGGGAGGCGGGCCCTGAATGCACCTGGGATGCCTCTGGGAAATGGAACCCTGGCAAGCCTAGCAGCAAATGGCAAGGCTCGTGCCATTCGGGGCCTAATCATGGGAGCAGTTTCTTGATGAGCAGAGGCCCTCATCACAACCTATAACAAAAACCAAAGCAGTTGTTTTTTGTCAGTAAAACGGTTTCTTTAAGTAATATAATATTTGCACAAATCCATGCATGTATTAAGTGGATAGAGTAAAACGCATGCCAACAATAAGCGCCCATGTAGAAGTGCTGCACACATACAATATATATATATATATATATATATATATATATATATATATATATATATATATATTTTTCAATCATGTCTAGATGCTTCCAGCTAGTTTGAGACTTTGAGTTCACTTGCATGTATGTATGTTCAAGAACCTCTTGCATTTAACTATAATAAACCATTTTATAAGGAAATGAACGAACAAAATTGACAGAGAAGGGAACTTAAATAATTTCCATCATTTGATTCAACGTCCTTAGCAGAAAGGATCAAAGGACTACCTCCAAATTTTGTAAGGAAATTTATCCTGGATTATAGTGCAGAGCTCATTCACAAACAAAAGCTCCAATAAATTAACTTTTCTAAGGAGCTCCAGTAAATCAACTCCTGACAAATAAACAACCAAAATCTTGATTCATACCTTCAGAATACGTGACATAAAAGAGGTTCCATTTAGAGATAGCGCAAGCTCTGCTGCCTCCTTGCGCATGAACTCCACATAGGCAGACCTGTTTGTTTATAAACATTTTTAGCCACATTACACAGGCATCAACAGAGACGGAAAGAAACAAATTTAAAAACCTACTGTAAAAACTAACCCTATTGGTTGTCCAGTTGCTGCATCAGTCACTATAGTAACTTTGAGAACTTCACCACACTTGTTGAAATGTCGAGAAAGGGTATCTTTGGTGGCAGCAAAATGAACCTATGAAAAACCAACAGCAATAAGTTTTTTTTTTTTTTGGTACCGACAACAATAAGTTTGAAATCAACCCAACAAACATTGCATTTGGAATTAGAAATACATACATTGCTGACAAAGACAGTTCTAGAATCAGCATCATCTGAAGGACGACTAGTGGAATATGAACCTGCAAAAAAGCAATAGAAAGAACTCAACCACCTAATAAAATGACAAAGAAAAATAAAAGAATGAAATGGCATATATACAAAATACATGTATGTAGATGGATAATTTAAGGGTCCGTAACTTAACAATGAATATGGCATTGAACAGAACAGAATTCATGCAGCCAACCTCATAAATTAGTTTCGATCTTATATAACCCTAATGATTTGGTTAACAAAATTGAGAAGGCCATGTTGCCAGTAATTTGGTTAACAAAAGAACAAATAACCCTATAAGGATCTTAAATAAATAAGCTCAGTTTGGAAGGAGTACAAATACAAATATGTAGAGTACAAAGCTATGTATTTTGTATGTATTTGTACTGTACATATTTGTATTTGTACTCCTTCCAAACTGAGCCTAAAACAACAGAAAAACAAATGAACCAAAAAGCACTCGTAAGTTTTACACCAGTTACAAGTGGCAGAGGAATAGCAACTTACAAGTCGAAGGAGGCACAGTCTTTTGAGATTCCTGATGAGTCTGCATAGGTGATTCCTAAGACATAACAGAGCAAAAGGTGCAGTTTCAGCAAACCAGTACAAAGAATAAAAAGAACAAGAGCAGTACTGTTTTGGATCATCCATTTTAATTACAAAATGAGAATCAGCAAGAACTAGATTCTTACATTCTCAATACCAGCAGCAACATTGCTGTTCTCTTTCATGAACCGAAGGCCCTTGACTTCACCCACCCCACTGTCCTGTAAAGTTTTTCTATTCTCCATGTCCCTCACCTCCCCCGATGTCTTGTAGTGCGGTGGTTTCCATGTATTTACATTCACTGAGATGTTCACAATCTTACGAGAAGTGTTTGCCACCAAAGGTGGAACCTGATCTTTCATCCATGTTTTCCTCGTAGCCTCATCAGTGTTTTTAGCTACTCTGTACTGCACCATTAGTGAATCTCCATCCTTGTCTCCAACAGATGTACCAGCCTGAGAAGCATCTATAACCCTGTGATCCACAACATTGATATCATCATAACCATCATTATCAGATACCGAATCAGGTGTCAAGCAAGCACCCTTGTCCAGCATCGCCATCTTCCCAGCCAGTTCACCATAATCATGTCCTTGCATATAATCTGAACCAGTCACTCCTCCATCTTGTTCAAGATCACCATATTCTCTGTTTTCCATAGTAGGTATTCGATATCCTGATGCTTGGGTAGTTGCCCCTGACACATTCGTACTCTGCTCCAAGCAGTTGAACACATTTCCAGAACATTTAGACCTGATTACATCTTCAGCAGCTTCTGTTGTTGCTTTAATTGCACTTGTCATTGTATTCGGCACTCTTGCAACTGATCTTATCCTCTGTGATCGATCATCTAAGGACAAATCCCCTGTGGATGTTGAAACTACAGAAAGAAGACGCTTTGATGCTGGCTCTGTTCTTGAATTTGATGGCCTTAAAGACCCAACTGCATCTCGCACAGCAAATTGAAGTAGCCGACGAGGGGCATCAATGGTTGGATGGGAGCTTAGCTCTCTCTGCCATATATGAAATGATGGTCAGGAAGTTCAATAAAAGAAAAGATAGGGGTGCATGGTCAGTTTTATAATTAACCAGGACAAAGCAAGTATCATACTGGCCATCATACTGTTCCGTACTGCATTACAAAATTCTCAAACATGGAAGTAAAATGATTTTTTGATGCATGATCAGAAAAGATATGAACAAGAGATATTGTCACTTTATGCAATATGTCCCCTAAATTTAGTGTTATAAACTATCCAAAAGTCCGTAAGCCATGTGGATAGTGGATACAAGACAAAGACAAAAATGATATGTCAGAAGTCAGAATGAAAAACCACGTCATTGAGTACAAAAGCCATAATTCAGTTACTTTGTATTACTCCAAACAGAAGTACATTATAATTTTCAGGAAAAAAATTACAATTTCAGAAACAAACAGAACAAAAAAAAGATTTAAGAATACATTTGGTTTCATGAAAGATTAGTAAAAGAAAGACAAGAGGGAGAGATAAATCAAGGAATGACCAAGCCGCATCAAGAGAAGGCCAACTGGCCAAAAAGATCAATACCGCAAAAGGCCAAGAATCAAAAAGAACATGTGGGGGAAAAAAGAAATGAAGCCAATAATGTCTAATCCCCAATACAAATCAACCACAGATGTCTAATCCCTAGGTCCTGGCAGGGCTACCTCCACTAAGGATGTCCAAGATAGCAGCCCCGTTATTTTTTGACAAGTCTCTGCACAAAATTAGCTGCTTATTGAAGATTTTTTTAGATCAATGAAGATAAATTTTATTAAGAATCAAAAAGAAAGAATTACATCAAGGTGGAAAGTTCACCACCACAAGAAACTTTTGATTTTCACCCAAAAAAATGGTTGTCTTGTAGTCCCTTGTTTAGCCAATGTGTCTGCCATCCCATTTGCTGTTCTTCTAACCTATCTAAATGTGGCATTCATCCCTCTTGCTAGGGATTCAATTTCACAGACTGTATGCCTGTAAACCCATGGGATTTGGGTACTATTCCTTGTCCATGAGTTACCCACTTGAGAATTCCCTTCCACTTCCAAGTTAAGAAACCCAAACTGCTTAGCAAATTTAAGGCCCTGAAGAAGACTATACAACTCTGCTGTCACTGCATCACGGTCATCACCATTGGTTACAGGACCTGAATATAAGCAGTTTATTGTAGATTTATAGTACTTTGCTGATGTCTTTTCTATATCTATATTAGAAGGAAGGAAAGAGGGGAAGCCAAGGGTCCTCTCAACACAGAGTTCACATGGACCTCCTTCTCTTGTCATTTCTCACATATGCAGGTTATCTATTTGTAAACTAAACTATTAAAATATAATAAGTTAGATTAAAAAACTTATATTTTAATTTTCTCTAATAAAATCCATCATTATTCTCTCTAATAAGATCATTTTTAACCCCCCCCCCAAAAAAAAAAAAAACAATAGTTAATGTTTGTGTAACATCTCTCCTCCCCTATTAAATCCCTTCTTTGCTCTTAAACCTCTCTTGATCCCTTGTGATTCTCATATAAAGTAGGGATATAAATTAGGTGGGTGGGGTTGGTTTAAGAGCCAACCCTAAACATGGACCCTGGCCTGGGCCCAGCCTGATGTTAAAACCCAGACATAACTAAATTTCTATTCAACCCCATGCATTGCATGGGTTTACTCACTAGTTGATTTGTATTAAGGAGGTGAGGTTAGAAGTTCACAAACAATAGAATGGGCACACTTTCCAACTTTGTGCCAGTACGCCACAGGTACAGGTTCCATTTGCCACACCATATCGTGGTTTTCTGTTGGTGTATTCCTCCTGGTGTAAAAAAGTTTCCTTTAACCAACCACATTTCAGATGGAATTCTAGTTTATTGCCTGAAAAATTATGCGAGTCTCGTGAAGATTTCTTACTTTAGTTGCACGAGTTAATATAGTAGTCCACATGCTTCCTTTCTAATGTGTTGGTCTCATGTCATTGGTCATCCAAAATATATGAACCTCTAACAGGAAGAGACGGGGCTTTCATTTCTGAAATATCAAACATCTTGTATGACTACCTAGAATATACAGGCAAAGATATGGATAAGGGCCATTGCATGGTGGAATTATAAAACCTTGGGCTGACAAATGATAGAAGCGGGATGCAAGTTTGAGTCCAGGAGCATCCACATCATTGGAAAAAAATGATAAAGGTTGGGCCTGTATCCAGTGAAACTATCCCAAGACCCAAGAAGAGCTTGGACCAATATGGAGCCTTTTTATATAGATGTAGAATATAGATATAGGTATCTTCTGCTATTGACTTCCACTCTCTAAATCAATTTTCTTCAATGATTGTCCTTCAATTCCTCCAAAAGATCATGTAGAAGATACCTTCATATGCAAATAACTTTCCATAGCTTCTGACAGTGAAATTTAGTTATTACAAGGAGCAGGCATTGGAATACAATAAAACAAGTAAGCCTCCTGGAAGGCCAAGAGTGAGTTAATGGCAACCGGGGAAGTTGAGAATGTGGCTGAGTTGGGAAGGCTAATGGGCTGTAAAGTGGGGCACCTCCCCTCTAAGTACTTGGGTCTGCCCCTTGGGGCCAAGTGCACTTCAAAAGGCCTGAGGACTCCAGTTTTAGAGAAGGTTGATTCGAAGTTAGCCTCCTGGAAGGCCAGGAATCTGTCTAAGAGTGGAAAGGTAACTCTAATTAAAAGTTACATGTCTGTTCTTCCAATTCCATCTGAGGTGGCTGGCCAGATAGAAAGGAGGATAAGAGACTTTCTATGGAGTGGTTGGAATGATTCATCCAAGTATCGCTTGGTGAACTGGGATCAGGCTTGCAAACCCATGTCATTTGGAGGTCTAGGGTTAAGGAAGGTCAAACTGTTTAACAAAACTCTCTTGGGTAGCTGGCTCTAGAGATTTGATAAGGATCCAAACAATTTGTGGAGGAAGGTTATCACTGAGAAATATCGTTTGAGTAGCAATGGATGGGATGCAGAATTACCCCTCTCTTCCAACGGCTGCAGCCTGTAGAAGGGCATATCAAAAGTCTTCAGTAGTTTTAGTGAGAGGCTGCTTTTCAAAGTTGGGGATGAGATGAAGGTGAGATTTGGTTGGATTCTTCGTTTGGTGATTTTTCTTTAAAAGACAGATTTCCCTCTTAGTTTAACATGGCGGATAACAACACGGCTTGGGTGGCAGACAGATGTGAGGTGAATGGTAGATCAATTTGCTGGAGGCCTTCCTTTAGAAGGAGTTTTAATGATTGGGAGATTAATCAAATTTCTGATCTGTTAGCTCTACTGCAGAATCAACCTCTGGATGTGCAGAATCAGGATGCTAGACTTTGGAAGTGGACCTCCACAGGGGTTTTCTCAGTCAAATCCTTTTACAAAGGCCTGGTTGGAGCTTCAGGGAACCCCTTTTCCCAGCAAGGCCATTTGGGGTTCAGCTGCACCTTCCAAGGTGAAATTCTTCATTTGGGTGGTTGTTCTAGAGAAGTGTTTGGCTAAGGAAATGCTCTTGAGGAAGGGGTACCCTATACAAGACAGATTATATGTGCTTTGCAGCAGGGAGGATGAGTCAGCAAGCCATTTGTTCTTATACTGCAGCTTCGGCTCAGCTGTGTGGAGCCACTTTTTAAGGGCTCTTAACCTGCATTGGTGCTGTCCCTTCTCAGTCAAGGACCTTTTGCAAGAGTGGGGTATACCGGGCTTGTCAAGGAAAGGGATAGTTTGTTGGTCAGCAGTCCCTCTGGCAGTAGTGTGGGCCATCTTGTCAGAACGAAACTTGAGGATTTTCGAGCAGACAGAATCACCAGAATCTGTGGTGATTAATAGGGCTATAGAGGACTTGAGGAGTTGGTTATCCTTACATTCTATATTTAAAAATGTTACTTCCTCTTCGTCTTTTTTGAATGTAGATTTTTGTGTGGGAGTGTAAAGTTTCTTTTAGTACATATTCTCATGTACAGCCTCTTAATATTAATATTTTTTTTACTTTACCTGTTCAAAACAAAAGTAAGCATGTATTTATATTAGAAGACAAAGAAGTGTTGATATCCAAACACTATTGGTCTTTTTTTGAGAACTTGTAAAGTATTGTACTAATAATAACTTAAAAAAGAAAAGAAAAGAGTGTCCATGAACAAGGGACTGTACAATGGGCATTTTCAAACACTTTGAAAATGTGTGAGTATAATTCTCATTTGTTTTTTGAAGATAAATAAAAAAGAAACTTTATTAACTTTTATAGGAACAAAATTCATCATCGTCATCATCCATCCCTCATCCCAACTATAGGCGGTCGGCTTATAGGAAAAAAATCTGAATCAAAAAAAGAGCTATTTGTTCTCCCATTGATATAGTTAGGCATGGCTTTCCAGGACAACAGCATTCCTATGATTTTCTTGGTCACAACTAATTCTTCACATGTCTTGTTTTCAAAAACATGAGCATTCCTCTCACCCTAGATAACCCAAAACACTGCAGCTGGTATCATTTCCCACAGTAGCTTGCAACTCCTACTCATACCCCTCAACTGCCATCAATATTGTCAATAATTTGGCATATAATTATCCAGAATGCCAGTTTCAAGCCCGAGTTTTCGAACCCTTTGTAAATATCTATGCAAGTAAAGTCTCTAACCTTTATTGGTTTCAGATCATCTTGCCGATTCCGTTTCCTTTGATGTGAAGGTTGGGGAGAAGGTGATCGTTTATTATGGCCAGATCCTTGATGAGTCTTTGCCTCTGGGTGGAAATTGTCAATCTCTGAGCTTCGAAGAGGAGGGGGTTCAGCTACATCTCTTACCAGTCCTTTCCATTCCCTATTCCGTCGACTCCTGGGTTCCTTAGTCAACTTTTCCCTTTCAGATTCATAGTCTAGATTCTTAGGATCATTTCTTTCTGTCTGTTCAACCAATATAGGCTTTGTCTTAGTCACTTCATCATGACAAGTTTCTTCAGCTTGCACATACAGATGTAAGTTTGAAGAGAGGTGATCCCAGAGCCTGAACAAATATAAAATTGCAGGTGATAACAACTTTAGCAAGCAAATAATTTCTATGACCTCAAATTAGACTAAAGGTGAAGTTGAATTACCAGGAAACAAAAGATTCACTATCATCCTCCAGAAACACATTTAGTTCATTCCTTGCCTCTCCTTTGGGCCTGCCATTTCTGACTAAAACAATGACATATTCCTGCATATGCAAATATGGAAAAGAAATTGCATAAATTTCCATCCTAAATGTTCAAGCATTTTACTTAATTAATTCTCAAACAAGGCTGCAACTTGAGCAAAACTGAGTTGAGCATTTGTTAAAACTCAAAGGAGCTTGGTCTGAGGTCCCAAACCTGGTGCAGTAAAAATTATTCAAATCAAGTAACCAATTTGCACCCCTACTCTCAAATCTTGGTTTCTGAACTCCAGACACATATAGATAAATGAAAACAACTTATCATAGTGATCTTCTATGGAGTTACGACAGTGTACAGCAGAAGCAGAGATATGGGAGCATGGAAATAAAATAAAGTGACAGCATATGCCTCCTGTCAATTACTTTGGCAACAAAATACATTTCTATGTTATAAGAAGCTCTGTATAGAAAATTAGAGATTGACCACAAGTCGACAATATCAACAACTTTCCTCCACGTAGGTGAGACAAATCCAAGGTAAACTAGAGATACCATAAAAAAAAGAACATCGGAAAAAATGGTCTTTAATAAGTTTTATGCCTAAAGAAATCATAAATAATAACCAATTACTCGTGCATATTCCTGCATCATTCAGAGAATAAAAACATTCAAAATGCTGATATCAATAAGAGCTTTGATTGAAATACTACTCCTGTGAAATCTGAACTTAGGCTTCTTGATACGACAATTGTGAACTAAAGTTCATGAAGTTTCTAAAGGTTCGCATGATCAAGAGTTAGGCATATCAATGCACTCATGCCTAACTTATAGTTTGTTTGCATTGTACGATACAATGGCACCAAACCGCCCTCCGCCCCCCCAACTACCACCACACACACATACGAAAAGAAAGTGTTTGTTTCACTCAGTTTGTGATACTCCAGCTTGGAGAAAAGCGAAGATTATCGGCAGAAGTTCAGACTAATGAGACAGAGAACCCTCATATCTCTTATGTCGTGAACTAATTCTATGGTAAGCGAAAATCGACGATTCCACCAAGCACCTTTTCAATTTGTAAACAGGGAATATATAACAGTTCGTGCAAATCGAGACAAAGATAGTGAAGGAGATGGAATCATACCACAAGAATATCATCGGTGTAATCCCCCATAAACTCCTTCAACTTATCCTTCACTGTCTCTCGCAGCTTTGCCACTCCATCCCCGCTGAAATTAATCCTAAATGTCCGCTCATCAATTCGATCCGAACCTTCCATCACTGAATTCGTTTCTCTCTATTCAACCCCAGGAGTGAATAGAAAAAACCCTAGTTTGCCTTTTCAATGAAGAAGATTCAAATTATAACTATGCACGTCCGTTACGCAGTTCTGATCCCTGACAAATAAATTTTCCTTTCGGAATGTCCAAAAATAAATTACTAAAAGAAAAGGAGTGAACGAATGGAAAGTTTTCCGATCAACTGGTGTTTTCCCGACGATAACATACGGCAAAAACGTCTACTCCACGGCGAATGACCCCGCCACGCTTCCTTTTCCCGGGGACAGACCCCGCGGAACCCTATATATGTGCAAGCCAGGATGACCATTTTTTGTTAATTATATTAAAAAAAAAAAACGAAAATGATTTCTTTCCCTAAATACCCCTCGTATTTCTAAATTATACCAACAGAATGCTTAAAAGTTACTAAATTACCCATGAACCAATAAATACCAATATGATGAAGAAAAATAAAAAACTAATACGTAGAGAGGCCTTCACATTTAATAAGGGCGGATTCGACCGGAGGTTTAATTTTCAAGCTCGACTAGCTAGAAAATTATAGGTTTAATTTAGTTCGATTCAAAAGTTTATAGGTTTGAGTTTCATTTGCCTAGAGTTCGATTATGAGCCAAACCTCCAATAAAATTAAAAAATATATATAAATATTTTTTTTTATTTTATATATAAAAAAATTAAGAATTATAAAAAATTAGTTATTATTTTACATATGAAAATTAATATTATTATATATACATATTTATTTATTTGTGTATGTTATTTTTACATGTATAATATTTTTATTATATATAAAAGCTTGATTAGGCTTGTGAGCCTTATGAGCCGAGTTATATTTGGCTTGAGTTCAACTTGATTAGAAAATAAGTTTATATATTAGATTCGAATTCAGCTCAAAGCTCAATTTAGATTGAATTGAACTGAGCTTTTCACGAGCCAAACTCGAATAATTCATAAAAGACTCGATCCATTTTCACCCCCTTTTGGTAATGAATTATATTATTTTAAATTGAAAAGATAGGGCTCCTCTATATAAAACAATACCAAAAATAATTTTATATTTTGATATTTATAAATGTCAATTTTAGTTTATATTGTCGTTGTGTTGGTTTGATAGGCACACAAGCTTATGAATTTTGACGTAGGTTTTTATGTTCAGCCCTGAAATTATTGGGCCTATGCTGGACACTTTAGGTTTTGGCCCAAGTAAGAAAATAACCAATCAACCTATGTCAAATCAGGTGGTATTTATCAAATTTTGGGAGGGGGGGGAGGGCGAGGGGGGTTGATTGGTTAAAGCTCTTATGGCATTATGTGCATCATAGATTTTTTTCATATATATTATAGCATCTATCTATATATACATATATACATATATACATATATACATATATATATATATATATATACTATATATACTATGTCAATGGGGGATTATTCTTGAGACCAAAGCTTATTTTATCGGTAATTCCTCAATTAATGTAGCGGAGGCTTGGGCTGCGTGGGAGGCCCACAATATTGCTTTTAACTATAGGGGTCTCCCCATCTTCATTGAGGGAGAGACTCTTATTGTGATTTCGTGTTTAAAGAATAAAGTGGATTGCCCGTAGAGATTGAAGACCATCACCGATGAGTGTTTAAGTTGGCTGGAGATTTGGATTGTGGTGTCACATACAACCATGTCTATAGAGAGGTCAATCAAGCTGTGGACTGGATGGCAACCCAAGCTCTTTCTTTTCCTCTCAGCACTCTCATTTTTTGCCCTCCCTCTATCCCTAGAGTCTTAAGTTCTATTTGTTTTTGTGATGATTGGGGCCGAGCTACCCCCCTGCCCCCCCTCGTCTTGTGTAGCTCCTCCTATTTCTACCAAAAAAAAAAACAAAAAAAGCTCACACGTATCTCAATTCCTCTCATTTATCACACATGTGCACATTTTTTTTATATTAAATCATTAAAAACCTAATGGGTCTTTATTGTCTCTAATAAAATCCATATTTACTCTTTAATAAATCTCTCTCTCCCTCTCCCTCTCTTTCTTTAATAATTGTAATATTTCCCCTCCCCATTAAATATTATTTTCCTCTTAAATATCCCTTTTGGCTCTCTCTGATAAAGTACGGTGTAAATTAGACGAGTTGGGTTAGATTAAGGATAAACCTAAATATGAACTTTAACTTGGATCCAAAATTTCCCACAAATACATAGGGTGAACCAATCTAAACAAATAATTGCTCATTTATTTGAATTACTAGGTTTTTTCCTATATTTTGCTAATTTCATTGGGTTCAAGTTTTTTCCTCTGTTTTTATTTATTTAATTTAATGTATACTTGTTTAATGGATTGCTATGGTTTTATAATAAAATGTAGTAAAAATAACTAAATGTGAGTTTTTGGTTATCTTCACCAGCTCAATTTTGAAATTTCTTTTTTAACTTGGTTATTAATCTCATGATAAGCACATTTTGATGCTTTATAAGGACTACACAATGGGAGGTAACCCATTGCCCCAACCCAAGTCTCTACTATAACTAATTAAATAATGTATCAATTGAGCCACTATCGCTTGATTTATGTGCTTCTCATAATATATAAACTATATAAAAATGAAAGTTGGAAGCTCAATAACTAAAAAGGAAAAATAATATATATATATATACATTCTAAAGTAGAAGGTGCCAAGTAGGTGGTATGAGTTTTATCAGAGAACTCATTTTCAGCCCCTCTCATTTTTGCCTTCCTTACTCCCTCATCACTCCCTTCTATCTCTCTTATTTGTGCATCTCATCATGCCTGGTCCACCCATTTTACATTCCCTAAATCCTAATCGTGATAGGGTAGGAAAACAGGGCCAACACGCCTCTGTTTTCTACCATTCTTCAAGTTAATCCATTCACTACTATTCAATATTCCCCAAAAACGAATATTTTTACAGTTGTTTTCCCCACAGTTTTTTCAAACGACATTCAAGCTTTTCTCAGTCGTCCTGGATTGAGAAATGGGTCATTTGGAGTGAGAAATTGGTGGAACATTTAAATTACAATTCTCACTTGGGAAGTAACTTTTTTGCCCTGAAAATATCAAGCACCAAGCCACCAATTGATAACATTCGCCTCTATGATACCCACAGAAAAATGGAAGTGCAATTCTGATAATCATTTTATAAAATCTCCTATTATCAGAAAATGAGCTCTTCCCGGCTTCAATCAAAGCAAATAATAACAAATTAAAAAAAAAAAAAAAAACTTAGGACCAGTTTGGTTTGCAGAAATAGGATCTGGAATTGGACCAAGGTTGGGCAGTTCCCATTGGGAATGACTATTCCCTCTCCCTTCCTTGGGAATGAAATCACATTCCTGATTATTTCAATTATGTTCGATTCCTATCTGAACCAAATATAATGGGAATAAACCATTTTTATTCTGATTCCAAAGGATTTAAATTCCCATACCCCCTCTTTTTGGAAATTCCATTCCATTCCAATTTTGATTGATTCCTATCTGAACCAAACAGACTATAGAAATAGATCATTCCAAACTATAGAAGTATACCATGACCATTACAGACTGAAATAAACCATTCTCGTTCTGCTTCGAAAGGATTTTGGTTCCAATTTGATTTTAATTCCATCTGGAAAAGCAAACTGATGAAGGGAAATTTGGCCCGACCTCGCAGTTACCCGACACGTGGCAGAAACAAGCAACTCGGGACAGTAGAGCGCCCGAAGCAAGCACCGAAAGCAAAGCCCAAGCC